GTTATGCAAACTCTGGATTCTGTTATCTTCTTATGAAGTGTGTTGGGTTTAGTTCTGGTAGACAGTTATATCTTTCTTAGGCTTTGTCAGAGTGGGTCTGTTTTGTCATTCCTTCAGTCCTGGCCTGATGTTTTTTCCTAAGGCATGATGCTTTGAGGTTTCAATTGAAAACCCAATTGAGGGTGTTTACCAAGCCTTCTACCTTGACATATTCAAACTCCACATTCTTCCCTGCAGTGAATAGCTGTGGAAACTCTACTTAGCTGGTTCAGCTTTCTGACTGTTGTTTTTCCCTTCCCTCTTGGGGATCTTGCCCCACTCATGCATAGTTCAGGGATCAGTCAAGGATTTGAGGGAAGTTTACCCATAGATTTTTTTTTTGGCTCCCTCCTCCTAGGATTTTGCCACACTCACTTTCCAGCTGCTCTGGCTGTCCCAGACTCCATCCTCTATTCCTGAGGCCAATAATACTGAGGTTTTCTGCTTGAGCTCTGTCACATTGACTGTGGAGTAATCTCATGGGAAAACATATATATATAATAAATCTCAGTGTGGTTTCTTTCTTTCGAGGATTGAATCTTTTGATTCTTCAGTCCTCTCCAATTTGTATATATATATAATCTAGAGTTTGGGGACAGTAGAGTTTTTAATTTTCTGTATATTTATCCAGTACAAGCAAATTCTTGTGACTGGAAGCCAGAAGTCCCTGCACTAAGTTCTGTGAGAATCATTCTTTCCTTCTTCTCCTCCTATCTCTCTGACTCATTTATCTTGGTCCTCTTGGCTAAACTCTTTAACTACCTGTCCTTTAAATGAGAGTGTTCTGAGGACCTCATCCTTTTTTTTCTTTCAAAGTCTATAAGCTCTCCCTGGTTGATGCCATTAATATTAATATAACAGTACATTATCTACCAATTAATATGCCAATGACTCCAAAATCCATAACTCAAGCCCCTACCTTCTCCTGTGGCCCATGCGTTTCTAAAACTCCATGTTTCCTACATATTTCTTCCTCCTCTCACACATTCTCCTATATTTATGGATGTCATTAATATCACGCCACCTGGAAACTGGAGAATCATCTGAAACTCGCTTCTTTCCTTCATCCCACCACATCTATTTGTGTCCCAAGTCCATAACATAGACTTCTTTTGTATCTAAGTATCTGTCTCCTTATCTTCATCCCCACTGCTACTTAGTTTATTGCTTAACCTCGTTATTTCTATTGTCTCTTAAATTTTTTCCAGTTTACAGTGTCTTACCCTTCACATGCACCATCAGCATTCCTGATGCAGCACTCCTAAAATATAAATAGAGAATTAATACTCCTCAGCTTAAAGCCCTGCCGTGGCTCTCTATTGCTTACAGTCAAAGTTCACCTTTCATAGGAAGGCATGCAAAGACCTCCATGATACATCTCTTACTACTTCTAGTCTCATCTCTTACTGCAATGTTTAGTCTCTCCTCTATCCTCCACGTTTGTACTCGACTCTCCAGTAATATCAAACTGCTTATTCTTCCTCAATAAACCAGTGTCTTTCTTCACTCCCTCACTGCACCTCTGTTTATATGTTCTTCTCTAATTGGCGTGGATACCACGTCAACTCTTGTACAAGCATCTGAGAATTATTTCCTGGTTACTTCAGTGTCAGACACAATTTACCACTTCCTGTTTTGTACTCTCACTTGACCCTATATATACTATTTTCATCACCTGTTAAATTTTACTGTACTTATTTATTTACTGTCTGTCTACTCCTTAAAGGTTGCCTGTAAGATCTATTTTATTCATCTTGGTATTTCTAGCACCTAGCAGAGTACTTATAATGTGGAAAGCACTTGACAAATTGTTGATGGTAGAAAAAGTAAATGGATGAATATGTTTGGACATTATTGGGATAATTGGTGAAACCTCAGTGGCGTCTAAGTATGATGATTGTATTGTAGTTATATAGGAGACTATACTTATTTGTAGGAAATGCACACTAAAATATTTGGGTGTAATGGAGTATCAGGTTGGCAACTTGTTTTCAAATGGTTTATAGCAAAAAAAAAAAAAAAAGTTCTCTGTACTTTGCACTTTTCCCTAAGTTTACAATTGTTTCAAAATAAAACAAAAATAAAATGTGGGGTCCTTAAAGCTTAAAAATAAGTAAATAATAAAAGATTATTGTCCCTTAAGTCAAGGATAGCCTCCCTGAAAAGTGTAGAAGAAACAGATTGTATTCCTTGTCTCCTTCCTCCCTTCTCCACGGTCCCAGGAAGTCCTAGGCTTCCTCTACTTTCTTAACAGAACAAAGTCTCTAATCAGATCTGGTAAATTCAGTCACACTGAGATGCAAATTACTACTCAGAATTAATTTATTATCACTACGGTTTTTCCTTTTCTTTTTTTAAGCAGAATGCATTATTTTTGTCTTAAAAGAGAAACTATTCCAATTTTGGAGGTTTAGACCCCATGAAGTTGATGAGGAAAGAGAAACTGACTGAAGGGACTTCTTAGTTACCCTTCAGTCATTCATTCATCCATAAATATTTGAATGCCAACTGTGTGCCAAGCACAGTTCTGGGTACTGGCGATACACCAGTGAACAACACAAGTGTGTGTATGTATGTGTGTGTATGTGTGCGCACTGGGAGGAGGGAGGGAGAGGGAAGAGCCAGAGAGACAGAGAATCTCCTCACAGAGCACCAAGCTTATATTCTACTTGGAGACAGATAATAAACAAAGAAAAAAATAGAATGCATAGTATTTCATATGGAGAAAAATGAAGGAAGGAAATGAGACTGGAATTAAGGATGTATAGATAGGATTCTGTTTTAAATTGGAGTCATCAGAGAAGGTCTCAATGAGAAGGTGATGTCTATGAAAAGACTTGAAGGGATAAAAGCCAACCATGCCAGTTTCTGAATGGGGAGCATCGTACGCCGAGGGAACAGCCAATGTGAAGGCCCTGGGAGAAGAGCTTCCTTGAGGTAATCTGGGAATTCCAAGGAATTAACAAAATGGGAGAGAAAGTCAGAGAGATAAGGGCTGGGGCAGATTTTGTAGACCCTTGTAATAGTTTTAGCTTTTGCTCTGTGTGAGACCGTAAGTTTTTAAAGAGTTTGAGCAGAATAGTGACATGATCAGGCTTTTAAAAGGAGCATTCTGACTGCTGTATTAAGAATGGTCTAAAGGGATACTACAGGAGAAGTTGTAATCCAGGCCCAAGATGATGATCACTTGGACCAGGATGGTAGCAGTGGACATGCTGAGTTGTTTACCAGGTGGTGTTTACTCGGTTGCTTACCCTTTCCTTCTTTTTATCTCTAGTGGATAAAGATTAAAATCAGTGAAATCCTAGAGAGAGGATTTGGAGGAATCCTTAGTTCTAAGGGATGGAAATAGAATGGAACAGAATTTTCTTCGCTTTGCTCTGGTTTGGTCTCAGTCTATTGATGAGATGAGTGGAGGTGAATACCTGTTCCTTCCTTGTCAGTTTAGTACATAACAACAATTAGAGAAGGCCTTTATGCCTGACCAGAGATAACAGGCATATTCACAGATTAAAGCAGGCCAAAGATTTCTATTGCTAGTTTATAGTAAAAATACAAGAAACATTTTTCTTAGGCTAATCAACTTAATTGTTTAATAAGCATTTTATTGATTTCAGCAAATACAAAAATAAAAAATACATTTTCAGAAAGCATTAAGTGGCTTAAGTGCATTTTTAAAGTAAGAAAATTGAAAGTGTTCCAAGTACAATAAGAATGTAGAGTAGTATGCAAAAATTTTATGATAGTAATTTATTTAATTCAAAGTGATTTGTATGTGATAACCTACAATACCTATTGAGTGATTCAGCAATTAAAAATAATCCTGTTGTAAATTATCATGTTTTGAATGAAGAATCATTTCTCTAACAGAAAAAACAAGAACCACTTATCTCAATGTTGTGTACCAGGCAGAGTGGCCAACACTGTCCTAGTTTGCCCAGGACTCTTTCAGGTTTAGCACCCAAGGAGCGGAGATTGAAATCTGTCAGTCCCAGGCAAACTGAGGTGGGAGACCACTGCAAAAAACTTACCTCATTATTGCATGATATCTCTTAAAAGCAAGCTATAACGAAGGTTTAACTATTCACATTCATTTAAGAAGAAGTTTTAAATGGATGTTGTATTAAGTTATAAAAGTTCAGGGGAAGTACAGTTAAACTTCTGCCCCTCTCCAAAGAAGTTTACTTAGCTTCGGTTCTAAAAATGTCAGTTTTAAAAACTGTCTTTATTTGCTTTTTAAGTTAACCTTTCATTGGAATTTGTTTACAGGTAGGGATATTAAGTAGAGGCCCATTTCCCAAAACAACACATGGGATTGAAAGCTAAAGTGCAGAGTTTGGGAAAACATGCAGAACTGAAATGGAAGTAGCAACTTAAAGTTATGACTGATGAAAATCTTTCATGAAGGATGAGAATCAAAATGAAAGGAAAGTAAGGAAAACCTATCTCAGAGGATCTTCCTAACCTGCATTCTGTCAAGTTTCTGTAGCTTCTTTATCATTTAAGGTGGAGATTGGTACATGTTTCAGAATGGGAGATTTAAAATGAATATTAACTTGTTCATTTCAACTATTACTCTTTATTCATAATTTCAAGCATTTACTGAAAACTTGCCATGAACCTGATGTAATGCTTATCAGTTAGGGATTCAAAGATGAGTAATACACAGTTGGGACCCTCAAGGAGCTCTCAGTCTAATGGGAGAATCAGACAAATAAATTTCAATCAGAAATGATAATGCCTATCTTTGAGAGAAGTACAGGATGCTAATGAAGTACATAGAAAGAATACCCAACCCAGCCAGTGTTGGGAAGAGAGGAGGTGGGATGGGCTTCCAAAGAAGAGACTATTCAGGAAAGACTTCCCTGAGTAAATGAAGCCTGGAGGTGTAATGAGTAAAATTTGGCTAGGTGAGGAAGGAAGGTTCCAGAGAAATAAAGAGATCCTTTTTATCACTGTAGGGTGAGAGACCATGGTTTGAGCTGGCTCCTAATGGGAGATCAAATCTCCTGCCATCTGCCTTCGCTATTACTACCCTCAGGCAAGTCTGGATCTTGGGTAAGAAATTTCACTCTTATAGGAAGAGGACTTGTATTCAAGATCCAGGGCACTTATCTTAAGGAAAGAGTTGCTTTCCAAAGTGATATCGCTCACACAATCTGTAATCTTGGTCTCTTGCCTTTTTTTTCTCTTTCCATTGGTATTAGTGATAAGAAGTGGGGCCACTCATTTCTATTGGAAAAGGGCCTGGCTATACTCTCTGCAGAGGGTTTTTCTCCTTTCCTAGGGTGGTTGCCTGTCTCTGAGAAGCTTTGAGGCAAGCTGCTCTGTCATTGGGGTATAATGTACATCAAAAAACAACTACAACAACTAAAAATAAAAATTAAAAAAAACGTACCTTAATAACCAATACTAGTATTTCTTTTCATGTGGGAAGTGGTTTGTACGGAGAAAGATGTGCATAGGTCTTTTAGGGTATGAAGGTAAGTAGGTGAGGCTCTGGGGGAATAAGTGGGAATGTGATAAGAAACTAAAAGTATAACTAAAGTGTTCAGTATAAGGAATGACTAGCAATTTGGGGGTAGGACATAAAGGGAAGAAAGAACTCAAGCCATCAACAGAGGCTGGAGCCTGGGAAAAGAGTGCACTTGGAGCCAAGTGCAGAGGCTGGGAGAGTGAAGGGATTTGCAGAATAGAATTTCTAAAATTTAAGTCTAAGATATTTGTGTTTCTGGAGTATAAGTCCTCTTTTTCTTCCCAAAGCTTCAGTAAAATCACGTATGCCTTAAAGCTTTTGGTGGTGGTGGTGGTGGGTGTAGAAAAGGAGACTAAGCCTGCGGCACATTTCCCCTGCGGGTGCCTGGAGGAGGCAGCTCACGTTGCAGATCAGAGTGGAGCTCTCGGCTGTGGCAGGTGAGGATGTGCAACCAGCACAAAGGTGCTACACCTTGGAATTGATTCAAATGTACATGTCAGTCTTTTGTTTTCTGAAATATATCAAAGAGGAGAAGGCCATGGGGCTAATACTTTTTACTTTCTTTGTCTTGTTTCCTTGTGTTGTGACTTTTCATCCCTCTGATATGGTAAGTTCTCAGACTGAGGGAATGAAATGGAAGAGGGGGATAGAATAGATATAGAATAGGCCTCACAGTTTGGATGATTTTGGGCAAATGTTATCCAGTGGAAGCATAACGCAAGCTGCATATGTAATTTAAAGTTTTCTAGTAGCCATATTAAAATAACTAAAGGGAAATATATGACACTAATTTTAATTATATATTTTATTTAACCTAATATATCTAAAATATTATAAGGATTTAATCAATATAAAAATTGTTAATGGTATATTTTACATTTTTATTCTTTTTCCTGAGTCTTTGGAATCTGTCATTCATTTTACGCTTAGGGCACATCTCAATTTGCACTAGCCACCTATCAAGTGCTTAATGGCCCCATGTGGCTGTAATATTGGACAGTGGCTGTGACATAGAGGCTACCATATTGGACAGTGCTGATCTAGGCCATTCCAGCAGACCTTGCTTAGAAATATCGAGCCTCCCCCATAGTCTAGCTGCGATTATTGGAGTACTATGCTGGAGTTGATGTCAAAACAAACAATAAAGTATTATATTGCTTAGTTTTAACTCCTTTGTGCATATTTTCTCTCAGGTACTTTAGAGAGAATTAGCCAGAATCTTGGGTAGGAGTCAGATTCCTAGATCCTTTGGCCAGAATACAACTAATGTGTCTTACCCTGAGTTCCAACTGCATGTCCCACTCCAAAGGAGTGGCAATGCATGCAGAGGGGTCGGCACGGGCCATATTAGAAGAGGCTTTATAAATTATGCCAGAGTTGGGATTTAATTCCCAAAGCTGGGGAGTAGAAGGTGAAGAGTGGGGAGAATTTAGTGAGTTTTCAGCAAGGCAATTATGTGATCATATTTTCATTTTAGAAAAGTTAATATTAGGGTAGTGTAGATGACCCATTATAGGGCAGCTTGACTGGAAGCAAAGAGAAGGTCCTATAAAAAATGTGGATAAGCAGTTCTGAAGGCCTAAACTAAGGTAGTGGCTGTGTAGGTAGAGAAGAAACGACAGGTTAAAAACATGTTAAGGAATAATGGAGAATCCATGGAATGTGGAATCCATAGAGGTCAATTGAATGTGGTATAGGAAGTGTCAAGGGTGACTCAGCATTGTTTTATCTTAGGCAACTTGAGTAATAGTAAGTAGTGCCATTACTTGAACTAGAGAATACAGGAGGAGAAATCAATTTAAGAGGAAAATATTGAATTCCATTTTGGGACATATTGACTTTGGTGTGGAAAGAATAGAGTTTGAAAAGTATCCAACTTAGCATATTTAGAAGTCTTGATGAAAATGGTAAGAGTAGTTTCAGTGGAATAGTGAGGACAGAAGCCAGGCTGCAAATGTGCTGTGGAATGAACAAAAGATTTTGAGAAAGCATAGTATATTCAATTCATTCATAAATCAAATATTAATTATTATTTAAGACGTGTTGGAATATACATTGGGAATACACTCGTGAATAATACAGTATCTGCTCTCAAGCTGTTTTCTGTGGTGGGGGTTTCAGGGAAAGCAACAAATAAACCAGACCTTTAAAATGTATGGCAGGCCTAAGATAGTCACCATATGGCACTGTGAGAGCACACAGAACGGCCGCTGACGCCGAGGGGTTAGGACTGCTCTGTCAGCGAGCTTGTGGTGAAGGGGCAGAGAGAGCGATGGGACTGGTAGACGGAAGACAGTCATTTTCACATGGTTTTCTTCTATTACAAGGTTATTTGAGGTCCGTCTTGCATCATGTAGAATACACGTGAAAAAGTTTTACTTCTTCTAGCTGAGTCAAAGACTGAATGAAGGAAAATCATTTCACCCTCATGCTTGTGGTCCTGCGAGGCTTCCTTTCTTCTTTGCAGGTGAGAGAAGTTACGTGAAGACTGCAAAGGGGCCACAGTTAATAAGCGCTGCAGTAGAGGAAGAGGCCTCCTCTTAGCCCTGAAGACAGTTGTCTTGGAATTGGGCTGTGGGAGCTACTTCTGTCTACAGCTGTGTTATCCAGTACAGTAGGCACTAACTAGCCACAGATGGCTATTTATATTTAAAATAATTTCAGTTAAATAAAATTAAAAATTTAATTCTTCAGTCACACTACCACATGTCAAGTGCTTAGTAATGACATGTGGCTAAAGATTACCGTATTGGATAGCATAGACTATAGAACATTTCTACCATTGCAGAAAGTTCTATTGGACTGCTCTTGTCTAGAGAAATTGCTTTGTTCCCATAAGTTTAGGACTTTTTGCTATTACCTACTTTACCTTTTTAGCCCTCTGAGGTTTTATGCTAGATCCTATGGTTTTATAAATTATATAAATTGTTTTTAGCTGGTTTAATTGCATATTGTTTTCAGCTTACTTTGGCCTGCTATTTTTATTAATTCATAACTTAAGTTCTATATTCACAGCTTTTAACCCATTTTCATGTCTCTTCTATCATTTTTGTTTCCATCTCCTACAATTGACCTTCAGCAGCCTGAATCTTGTAAGTTACTTTTGATTGATCCTCCATTTCTTTCTTTGCTGATTCACCCGAGTAAATGAAAAGACTCACAGAATAAAATTCCTTCTTGGGAACAGGAATATTACATGTACTAGCAGGGTCCCTCAATTACCAGAAGCATTTTTTTCTCATACCGTATATCAGTCCAGTCCCTTTGTAAGAAGATCTGAAACCTATCAGTTTTGCTGTATTTAAAATTTTTAAGTGAGCAAGCCATTTAAACAGATGTGACATTCTAAAGGGGGACCAGTGGTGACAGATAATATTCACATTAATGAAGCATTTGTATTTGCCAAGCACTAAAAGCCATTATATCATTTAATTCTCCCAGCAATCCAGTACATTTATTCCAGTGTCCAGATGCGGAAACTGAGGTTTTGAGAGGTTAACGTCACACACTGACAGACTTGAACTCACAGATTTGAACTCCGTCTAATTCCAAAGCCTACAACAGTAAGTTGGAGGTTTTCCTTAGGGAAGGAGCCACAGACGTGATAGCTCTGGCTCGGTGATGGCAAGAAGGGTATTGCTGTCCCCCTCTTCACCAGGCTCAGAGAATACCTTAGAAAAGGAGCTGCCAATCTTTTTATAGGGACTAAGGATGGACAACAATATTGAGACTTTTTTCTAGGTCATCTGCTCAATTTAAGTCCGTTCCCACATGTAAGCTCCGTCTTCAAACCACTTCCTTCTAGCATATCTTGGTTTGTCCTGCAGCTTTCAAGACCTAATGAGGACTAAGGTTCTCTTAATTAACTTTTGAAGTTCTCAGAAGGAGGGCTGCTTGTACAGATCTTCAAGAGATACGCTTGTGCTACCAGAAGGTAGCTGACTGCCATGGACATCTGTGAGCTCGTCACATCAGTCAATATGTGTCACAAAGGGAATGACGCTATAGCAGTGGGTAATTGGGAGTCTGTGAACTGAGATTAGTTAACAGAACTTCCACCGTGTATGTGTATATATTTTCTTTTAAGAAGATTTTGCCAATGTTACGAGACAACACTCTGGGCAAACACCTGAAGTGATTTTAACTGGGCCTCCTGTCTGATCAGGGTGGGTCTCTTTGGCCTAAACAGTCATCTTCATCTCTTTGGACAATCAACCAGCTAAAGAACAGGGAAATTTCTTCAGTACTCATTCTCTGCCTTCCTTTAACATTTGATGTATTTAAAGCTTGGTTGGTTATAATTCTATACTTGAGGAAGACAAAAGAAGAAAAAACAACAAAACAATGGGGAACAATTCACAGAAAGATATCTGTTTCCTGTAACATGCTTAGCCATGTTAATCAGGGAAATGCATATTAAAACACACTGATATAATTTTCTTAAACCAGTAAATTAGCAAAACTTAAAAAGGTAGATAAAATTAAGTGTTGGCAATCATAGTGTAGAAATGACACTCTAGGTTGTAGTATTGTGAGATTTTTTTTCATCCTTATACAGTTGATTCTCGTTATTCAGTAGGTATGTTTCATACAGTCACCATGAACACTGAATCAGTGAATACTGAAATATTGCTCATAGGGAAAATATAAGGTTAGGTTTCTATGAACCTCTGGTCACATCATTTTTGTGTGATCAAGCAATCAACACGTATCCTTGCTTTATGTGGGTTTCTGTTTAAAGACACCTAATTAAATATATTTTGTTGATCCAGTAACATTGAACTCAACAACCAAAAGCACTCATTCTTGAATGATGCTTATATTACACATGTATTTTCTCTGGGAGGCATACCAGTCTTCTTGCACTTAGGAACACTAGGCAGCACTTTAGCATTATGCTTCGGGGCCATTTTAAACAGTGAAATCACCAAAAAACACAAAAATGCAAAAAGCGTGGTTCTAAATAGATTGCAAAAAGGGTGCTTGCTTATAGTCTGAGAGCTAAAACAAGAAGGCAGAGTGTTGCTTTGTGCAGCCTCAGCTGGGAGCATTTGTGATGATTCAAATTTTTGCTGCTCTGTGCGTGTCCACAAATGACGATGGAAGTGCTTCAAGTATTTATGTTGGGGTTACAAGTAAATTTTAGTGAGTAAGTAAATTTGCAAATGTGGAATCCGTGAATAATGAGGATTGACTGTATTTTCTTCATTTTTTAACAATAAGCTTAAATGATTTTTCTAAAAGAAAAATAAATTGCAAAAATAATTAGCAGTGCCCGCTTAATAAAATATCCTGGATAAGGAAAATAATTTTTCTTAAAGAGTAGATGGCTATAAGAGATTTAATACAATTAGCTTGAAAAAGTTCAAAATACATGCTAGAAAATTCTGCGTTTCAGAATAACTATTTGTCTTGGATTTCTTTTGCTTTGGTGTTAAATAACACAGCCCCAAAACTTGTCAAAGATAATAATTCTCTCTGTGATTATAAGAAGATGAAACAATGTGAACTAATAAGAGAGTAATAGAAAAGCACTTGACATTAAACTACTAAATAAAATAACATTTTATAATATTTTTCCATGACAATTAAAACAAAGTTTCATTCAACTATAATATTACTGATTCAACAGCAATATTTTCCTGAAAAGGCAAGAGATATAATTTAAAGTTACAAGTAACATGTTTGGAATTTTACATATCCTTTTCTGGTAATGTGTAGATTTTTCAACTAAATTAACTGAAAATGAAAAAGAAATTGTTTTTGGTTGTTCCAGCCATTAAGTATCAGAACTGGGACTCCAACCTTTATGTTGTTGCTTCCAAGTTCATGCCTTTAACCATTACATTATACTGTCTTATGACATTTCTGTGAGACCCTGTCACAATATTACCAGGGCCTAAAACATGTACAAATCAAGTGACTTTTGAAAATTAGATATAGAAGTACTTTCTTCTCTATGAAGTTTTAAAACTAGAGATTGTGTAATCTTTTTCTGAGTGATTTAGCTACAAGCTGACCCAAAAGCCACAAAATAAATGACAGTATTATCCTCATATTACATATATCCATAATTACTTATATTGTAGATAGGTGGTCAAAACTCAAGAAAACATTAAAAAAATTGGAGTAAAGATAAAAGGAACTTATACCATCTCACTTTAACTCCTAGATATGGCTTACTGTATATACAGAAACAAAATAATGTTTTCCCCTATAAAACCATTTAAACACCATTTTTATACATACATGTTGAATAGTGTTTATGTTTAATTCTTTTCAAAGGTTTTTTTTTTATATAATCCAGAGTTTTCTTAAACACTTCTGCATTATATAGTCCATCAAATGTGATAATTAAGATCTGTCATGCAATCTTCTAAGATATTATACTATGATAAACTGTGACACTAAGAAAAGAAAAGAAAGGGAAAGCATGAGATGTATTCTTTCATCTCAAAGAACTTGTGATCTAGACAAGGGATTGTAAATAGGCCAGGGTGGGAATAAGAGATAGTCCTGTGAGCTGGAGTGGGTCTAGAAGTCTCACTTCAGCTTGGCCTGGAGACAAAGGGGGAGCCCCATGAGGCAAGGGGAACTCAGCAGAAACAGTAGGGGAGAGTGATTGGGCCAGCTTAGCTGATGAGAAGTGTTCAGTGTGTGAATCTCCAGGGGCATCACGTTGCCCTCTGATCATAGAGCATTTTCCCTCATCCTCCTCTTTCTTTTTTCCCCATTTTATTTGTGATGATAACATAAATGGGAAGGACTGTCATTTTGTAGTAACATACAGTTCTTGATTTGGCAGTTTGTATTTAGAGTGTACTCCTTTATTCTGACAGAAAATATGTATATTATGATATTAACAATGATATATTTAGAGGGATTAATATACAAAATATATAAAGAACTCATACATTCAATAGCAAAAAAAAAATCTGATTAAAAATGGAAGAAGATCTGAATAGACATTTTTCCAAAAAAGGCATACAGATGGCTAACAGGTACATGAAAAGGTGCTCAACATCACTGATCATCAGAGAAATGCAAATCAAAACCACAATGATATATCACCTCACACATGTTAGAATGGCTGTTCTCAAAAAAGACAAGAAATAACATATTTTGGCGAGGATGTAGAGAAAGGGGAGCACTGTTGATGGGAAGGCAAACTGGTAGAACCACTATGAAAAACAGTACGGAGGTTCCTCAAAAAATTAAAAATGGAGCTACCATATGATCCAGCAGTCACACTTCTGGGTATTTATCTGAAGGAAACAAAGACACTAACTTGAAGAGATATCTGCACCCCCATCTCCACTGTGGCCTTATTTATGGTAGCCAAGATATGGAAGCAACCTGAGTGTCCACTGATGGATGAATGGATAACGAAAATGCAGTCTGTATATACAATGGATTATTATTCTGCCATAAAAAGAAGGGAATCCTGCCATTTGCATCAACAGGGAT